ATATACGGTAAATTCAACAGGTACCACTCCTGCAAGTCCGAGCCATGCCATCCAACCAATTCTAATTAATTGAATTCTTTCCTCACGCCTTCTACATCGTTGGTTTTTTCTCCGCGTTAAATGCTGAATATCTATATTTCCAGTTGTCTTCTATTTAACTTTAAAGAATGTGTAATTAGAGCCCAATGTCACCACAAGGCTTCGAGCACCTTTTGTATATGGTGGGACTTCGACGGGTGCACACCCTGTGGAAATATTTTTACACTCAGATCATTACGTTCCTTCCTCTATGGTGAAAGAATAGTTTGCCTGTCCAAATTTATAAGCGCCGCCGACCATGGTAAACTGAATAAAGGGGTTAAAAAACGACCAAATACACAATATGATCACCAGTGCCGGAGTTCACTAAACAAAAAGTATCTCAGTTTACAGGAAATATCAAGTGATTCACATTGTTTTGGATGCAATAGAAGGAGCTCTCGTTTAGTAGATTTTCATATCTAGTAACAGAGGATCACCAATAACTCCAAGCAGGTGTAATATCGAAACAAGGGAAAACAAGAAAACGTTGGTTAATCACAATACGATACTGTCTTTAAGCCTTAGGGACACGTCACGTTTTCTCTAAAAGGGCTTCTTGGCGGTTGCTTGGACTAGTTCAGCCGGCGGTGAACTCCAGTATTTCTCTACTTTTAAGGAGTGGGTTTTCAAGGGGATATCCAGACGTAAGCCATTAGGTCACCTTTAAGACCCCTGTACTCTTATGAGTGAAGTTTCAGTAACTGGAAGCGCTATTCATAGGACTTGAATTTCAGTCCTCGAATTGATTTCGTGACCCGCTGTTGAATGCATTGTAGGGTGTTCTTGTGTTTTTGGAGTGAGGGAGGAATTACTACGTTTCCGTACCGTAAGTGGGTACGGTTTAAAGAAGCCCTTAACGGTAGGATAGTGGACTATGCTGAACCATAGTCCACGTCATCCTGTGCAGCTCCAAATGTCCTTGTAAAAAATAAGTTCAAAGACTTCAGGCTATGCATCAATCATCGGAAACTCAATGAGGTCACAAAACGTGCTTATTTTCTACGAATAGACGATACATCAGAGGCCCTGGCCGTTTCGAAGTGGTATTCACTGCTAGAATTAGCATCTGGCTATCGGCAAGTAAAATTACATCCAGATGATCGACACAAAACAGCTTTCACAATGCCATCAGATTTATGTGAATTCCAAGCAATGCCTTTACTTTCCAGCGATTAATGCATATAACACTCTCTGGGTTAGTGCCACATTCTTTTTGATGTATCTTGATTTTATACTGCATGGGTCCACTGCTCGAGTACGTCTATAAAATTCGCAAGTGGTTTTGCAACGCCCTAAGAAATTTTTTTTAAAAGCACAACCATCAAAATGCTGGTTGTTGAGGAAGTATGTTGAATTCCTAAGTTATGTCAGTGATGGGCAAGGAATACACTCAAATAACGAAAAATTCGATATCATCCAAGACTGGGTTGCCCCAAAAAATGCTAACGGACTCCGTAGCTTCTCAGGTTTACAGCAACTTATTATAGAAGGTTTATTCAAGGATATTCGTAGATTTCGACTCCTCTTCATGAATTTCTAGGTAAGGATGCTAACTTTGAATGAACTGATAAGTTTCGGAAATCTTTTGACTGTGTAGAAGAGTTGTTGTTTTCGACACCAATGTAAGCATATCCAGATTGTTCTCCCATTGCTAATAGTTCCAACTTAGACAACGATGTAAGTGATCAGACTATCGGTGCGGGATTGCCACAAGTTTATTCGATGAGCGCATAAGAGCTGAACGCTACACAAGTCAGAAAAAATTATTGCACAACACGCAAAGAGATGCTAACAGTCGTTTACTTTGTGTGCTACGCACGGTATTATTTATTAGGACTCAAGTTTAACGTTAGAACCGATCACAAAGCTTTAATATGCTTGCCAAAGTTTGGAGATCTCGAAGAGTAAATTCCCGAATCGCAAGAATGCTTACAAGAATATGATTACGAATGCCTCAATAGTCCCGACAAACAGCGCCAAAATGCGAACACTATCACGTAGAGCAGCTAAACTCCATGGAGAATGCCCGTCTCCGGTGGTAAGGTCTCAAAAAGTACGAAGCTAACACGAAAATACTCGCAAAAAGGTCGTGTATGACCGACCTCAATCAGTTGTCCCTTGAGCACAACGGTCACGCTCTCAGTTCACTGGGACCACCCCTAACCCAATTTCGTTTTCAGGTATCTCCCTAAGAACCCTTCCACAGTGTGGGCAACCAGGAAGTGATAGCCGCCATCATACCTCAACGATACTCAAAACCACTGTATCTGTAGAATTATGGTCTACTATGATATTAGTACTGCTCTAATAATAGACCTGATCCTAAAATTGTAGATTTGTCATGATATAACCGTCTAATCTATAAGACCTTACGTGGACGTCATAACATCGTCTACACCAACTCACTGTATCGTAACAACTACCAATACACGATGAAGAACAAGCTTAGGCTAGAGAAAGAACAATATATTTAATATGAATAAAAGATACAAGGTAGTATTCAGCAGGGACCTGCATGGCCGAGCCATGCCATTCGATCAACTCCAAATCCTTTAATTCCTTGTACGCGCCTACTCCATCGTTAGGTATTTCTCCGCTTTAAATATTGAATATCTATTTTCCAAGTAATCTCGTATTCAGCTTTGAGGATTGTGTTGTTATGGTCCAATGCCACTATGTATCCATAATCGAGCGCCTCTCCAATTCATGCTATACTTCCTACATCACATTTCAACTCTAAACTTCCTCTTTTGACTTCCTCCTCAATTGTCACAACGGCCAACCTTTCTTGTGTACAAAACACTGTCCCAAGTCTACTGAAACCTCGCTTCAAAATATACATTGTAACCTTCACCGTACGCACCCTGTGTCAAATCAGCCAGTAGGACTCCTTGGCCAATATCCTAGAATCTCGTACCACTGGTATATGCTGTGCCTCCGAAACACACACACAGGATCCTTGTGTGGTCATTCACTTGACCCCACACAGTCAAAACGGAGGTACGACTGGTTCCACCCTCCGTTTATCTGGCAACCCGATGGCCAGTGATCGTAGACTGGCAAGTGTAGACATAGGACTAAGCACGAGGGCAGATCCAGCAGAGTTAGAATGGATTCCCGTTAACGGTCGCCTATGTACTGTCCGGCTAAACAGTTCCGTCAGAACTCGGAAGGATAGGAACAAACGTCGTCGCCTCTTCGTCGTTTCTGCCCATGCTACCATAAGAGTTGAACTCAGTGACGAGAAAGCCAAACGTAGGTTCCACGAGCAACTGAGGTCACAATTAGGTAGTTCTGAAAACGAGGCTGACCCAGATGTTTCTTGGAAAGATATACAAATATCTGTGGAAACAGCAGTGACATCTATCAGTGATTTAAACCACAGGGTTACAAAGAACCAATGGATTTCCTCAAGGTTTATTTCACTGATGGATTCTTGTAAACTCATCCCATCAGGCTCTGAACACGATGAAGAGCGAAAACAAATCAGATGTAGGTTAACCGAAAGTCCAAGGAACGACCGTGAGCAGTGGTGGGCAACGAAAGCAAAAGAGATGGAAAAGGCGGCGGCTATAGGGAACACAAGACAGCTCTACAGACTAATAAAAGAAACTGGAATTAATAAGTCAAGTGTAAGTCATACTATTTCGGAAAAAGACGACACTCTCATCTGCTCCCAGTTCAGACGTTTAGAACGATGGGCGGAACATTTTAGAGAACAGTTTATCTGGCCTCCAGCTACCCTACAACTACCCTCCATTCCCAGAAAATGTGGATGGAACACTGAAGTAAGTCTCCCAACTCTAGCAGAAGTTCAAAAGGCTGTAGTTAATCTGAGACGAGGAAGAGCAGCTGGCACAGATAGATTGGCTCCAGAGGTCTTTAAGTATGGTAGTCTAATATTGGCGATTAGATTGAATAATATTTTAGCTAAAATCTGGGAGTTGGACGTTATTCCATCTGATTGATCACAATCACTGATCATCCCAATATATAAGAGAGCGTCAAAATCATCCTGTGACAATCATAGAGTAATCAGTTTGACTAATATAGCATCTAAAATACTAGCCTCAATAATTATTGGGCGCCTAAAATAGACTGGTGAACTGCATACACAAGAAAATCAGGCTGGATTCAAACCTGATCGTGCCTGCATCGACCACATATTCACCATTCGTCAGGTTCTAGAACATGCTTATTAGCGTCCGACAATGGTGATCTTTCTTGACTTAAAAGAAGCATTTGACTTTGTAGACTGAGAGGATTTGTGTCAGTGTCTGTCACTGAAAAGTGTACATCAGAAGTACATAAACCTTGTTAAGGCTCTTTACTCGAACACCGTTAATCGTGTGAGAGCTTATGGTGAACTGTCATCTGCTTTTGCAACCTCAAGTGGTGTCCGACAAGACGTCCACTATCTGCATTTTTGTCAAACTTCATTATGGACCTAGTGCTGGGAATAACGTTCTCGTCGACTGAGTTTCTAGGAATTGATATCCCACCAGGAGGTCCAGTTATCAATCTTTGAGCGACGCTAAAGATACCTGGAGGACGTCCACATACACACTATGCCTAAATGAGGGTTATGAACCAGTGTGAGGAATTAAGTCTATTATTTACAGTTGATAGTCGGGGTTAGGAATTAGATATGAGGCTTTAATCACGAACTGACATCAGCTATAATTCCAAAACTCTATTTAGCCAAATGAATGAATTAATTTTGCGCCAAAATCCAAGGCCTATTATCGTAAATCTGGTTGATTCGTCCATAAATTATAGTCTCGCCTCGAAAACTACTCTCTTTAAAAAGATTGCTTGACTTTACAGGCTTTATGAGCAAAATAAGGAGTTCCCGATGTGCAATCCAAAACATATATGTGTGAGCATTGAATGCTGTTTTCGTGTACTACTGAATATTGGTAACACGTACGGCGGGGCTTCGCACACGTGATGAAGTCTATTAATGTAGTGATTTGTGGTTGGAATCAAATTACAGCATCTGTAATAAAGATGCTCAGGAAACATAAAAGTGTGAATATAATTGGATACTGGTGTGAGTCTTCGAGCAACCAAATTCATGCAGATGTTGCTGGTATGAAAGTTATTAGTGAGCCTTTTAAAGATCTAATATCGAATAAAGATATACAGTTTTTATTTCTTTGTGATACTCCGGTCAATCAACGCAATCTTGTCTCAATAATTGATTGCTTGAGCAAAAAACAGTTTGCTTCGGATACGGTATTGCAAGACATCCCTTATATAATTATTTTTCCTCCCGTATCACCTAATTATGATATGGACATGTTAGAGAAAGTCAGAATTCGTGTTGGCTTCGCCATGCCCTTGAGAAACCTACCTTTATCTACCCTTTTGTTCACTCACCTCAACTACAATCATAAAGAAATGAAAGCACTCAGGAATTACGAATTTACTCGACTCCCTACACATTGGGTTTTAGGAACTATAGAAAGCATCCATATAAGATTGTCCACAGTCAGTTTTATTGATGGTAGTGAGTACTCATGGTTATCTGAGTCGGAAGATATGGGTGGAGGACTGCTGAATATGTTCTGTCCAGGTCTTATTGACCTTGTTTATTTCCTTTCTGGAGGGCTTCGGATAACTTCACTTACGAGTATTTGCCGAATATTCGGTAAAGGAACAAGCGATTTGAGTCATTCTATTCGCCATATCTCTGCAGATGACTACGTCACTATAATGGGCGAACTCGACATACCAACATTACCCGGATTTCGTAAACCAGTAGTCGTCATAATTCTTTCATCAGATATCCCTTTCCCAAAAAATAGGATGAGTGATCTCCCTGAAGCTCATTTTTATGACAATCATTGTTTCAGACTGGAAATAGAAATTAGTGGATCAACTGGTAGCTTCTTGATTGATGAAGGCAAAAGGCGAATTTCATGGACACCTCGAAAAGCAGTCTCGTCAAAGCCTAGTAAACTGAACAACAAACTAACTCAGTTGGACTGCGAAGATCACTACCATGACAAACGACCTGGGAATATAGAGGAATCTGAAGGAGTGTATACTGAGGACGTATTAGTCAGCGCTATTGGTAGCAACGTGCCTCGAACTCAGGTTCCTACGATGCTAAACGTCAATCTCGATGAGGATGGAATGACAGAAATAGTTCATCTATCATTAAACGTAAGTTACACCAAGTTGTGTTACTAATACTATCTTTTATCATGTTACATCTGTTGACCATATGTTTTATTTAGCATCCTGTATTATCTATACTATTCCTTTAAACCAGCCTCATCCATCGTAGCTGATCATTAAACCGAAGTCCTATGAAGTAATACATACATAGAACTCAATAATAAACCTCAGTGTATCAGTAGTAAGTAACTCTAAGTTCATTCAAAGGTTTTCTAAGCGTACAACTATTTATTACCTAAAACCTCCAGCAATCAGTTTAAAGCCGTAATCATGATACTGACGAAGAGAGTTGTTCATCGCCACTTTAATGGCGGATCCAATCGATATTCGTAAATAAAAAGTATTTGATGTAGCCAGGAAAACGTACTTAAAGATGTTTGCGTAAGGTGGAGTCGTGTATGACGCAGTAATAATTTTATAACAGTATATGCCCGAATTTAGAGGTCAACCAATTTGCTTACTTTCTGTCTTCCTATCACTGTCAGACGTTCTTTTTCGCACAGGACTCACTACATGACTCGGAATCAGTAAAGAGTGCTCAACATTGTTATCTATCCGCAACTGGAGAAGCATGGACGAACTGGATAAGTGGTTTAACCAAAAGCTTTTGTCCGGAGTGGAAATCATTCGAGTTTTTATCGGCAAGCCCCGGCCATTGGGTTTACATTCAGTCAGTTATGCATGCGATAACCAAATCCACACAACTTAGATGTTGGATCGACGTCCAAACTGGCAAACGCATATGATAGCTTTCGTAGTGTTATTGCAGTGAAAATCAGGAAAAAATACGTCTCACGGCCATACTTTACAAAACTCAAGAAAACACCTAACATCAAGTTAACAAGGGTTGGTCTATGGGTCCAACAAATTAAAACGGGATTTTTATTCAAGTCCTAGAAATCGATTATGTATTATTAACTGATTTATTACAAAACGCTTGTTTTTCGTGCTTATCGAATAAATGTTTAAACTCAGGTATTTCACTTTTACAAACTTTAAATAAGATGTAGCACTCGGAACCACAGAGTATTCGAAAATTTCTCCGCTTGTGTTGATTTCAACCCAGTAGGTTCATAATCGTATTATCATTTTGTTATTTTAGTCTGGTATTTGTATTTTTGAAGTAAAGATGATCCCCTGTTGAGTTTAAATAGTAAGAGATTATGCCGTACGGAACTGTATATAAATCGACGTCATAGAAAAGCTTTACAACGTATTCCGAAAACTCTAGATGGCTATTTCATCAAATCACAACCTAATTAAATCTGTTCAACGTTGAGTGAAGTAATTATTATTAAAAGACGAAGTTACAGATTTATAGGAGAACGGGCAAGAAAGGTTCAGATAAAAAAATGAACAATCTGCAATAAACGACAAACGTTATTCACATACAAAAGAGAACGGAAAGAACTTGTTTATTTATCTCATCCTTAGGTAAAAAGACAGATGCACGATCTCTAAAGAAGTCGTCTTAAATAAGCGTCATTGTTACCAGCGTCACTGTTCATTGATCTTTTCTGTCATCGATTTACCACTTAAGCGCGCTTTATCCACGTCGAGGCAGGCGACACATTTCGCATTCATCAGTATCAGGACTATTATGAAAAGTACAGTGAGAGCAGGCCCAGTGACTAGATTCTGAATTTCTTTGTTCTGTTATCCCCGATGGTGTTGTTGTTTGAGATGACCAAGTTGATTTAGGTACTGATGTTGGACCAACTCCTAAAGAAACACTAGAACTACTGAGTGCAGAGCGATAGGAATCTGATTGAGTAGGCAATGGAGGACTAGGTGGCATATCTATTATGAAATAAGAAAACAAAACAGTTGAATTCCTCGTTGATGATCACGTAAAACATGATAAGATCAATCGACTTTGCAATTTATCGCTAGAAATATTTTGGTAACAATGCAATATCAAAAATACTGACTACAATCGAATAGTATACTTAAATCATCCCTTGATTCCTATCATGTTCAGGAGATTTTCAAGTTTAAAGTAAAATGTAGATCAGTTAAATGGTCTAAATTTGACAAGTAGTTGACAAGAATTTCACGATATAACATAATCAATCATATAGGACTAGCATACTATTTGCTTGTAGTATTCTACTAGATTGACCACGGTTAGATAGAATAATTTAAGATTACCTTAGTTGACTAAAATAGCGCATATTTTTGAAAATTTTGTTTATTAGTGAGATACTACACTATATAAAAGTGGCCTAGTTCAAAATATACTATAATCTAAGTACTTCACGTTAATAATAGTACACCTAATCTCTCAGTAAATAATAAAACGACCAGTGTGACATACTATGACTAACAAATTATTTTGGGAATGGATGACATTATCCTGTTACAATTGAAATGATACTAAAATAAAAAGGGTATATAGCACTATAGAGTACAAATTAATACATATTTATATTATGCATCATATAAGGCTAATATACATATACAAAATCAAATCATTTGGTCGTAAACTGAAACAACTATCCAGTTTAATTCATTGTGTATTACTTGTTTGAATCTTCTCATTGATGTTTAGGACTGCAATTGTTCCGTCCGATATTGACATATGTGTACCCTATGCGTATCGCCTCGATATTGTCTTAATTTACAAGCATTATGAGCAGAGATGTATGTTAGCTACCACCATGTATCTGTGCCTAAAACTACGCACTTTGTTATCCTCGAAAGTCTGTCTCCTCTTAATAGGATAACCAAGGATTAGGCCTGACAGTCAAGTCTTAAACGAATGAACAGTTCGTGGCCTATAAAATTAACTCTGTCCAATCACTTACAGATATTTTGCCATGGCATCATTCGTATTTATACTTTGTATATAAGCATGTTACTTAATGCGAAAAATCTCTATTCATCTGGCTTATGGTCATATAATTTATATCTCATGAGTAGTCATTATTCGGTTACATCGTATCACTACATATTGTCTATCGATTAGCACATTCTCTTCTTTCGTTTTAACAATCGAAAATTTGTTTCTCCAGTTATTAAAATTATTCACCTAAACAGATATTATACGCATATGATTAGATCAAAGTAACTTACCGGAAACAACTGCATTAGCCAACTCTTGTACAGTAGCCCAAATTGGTGATTCACTAGCCCATTTCTTAACACCTAATTCATATTGTTTTATCGAATCATTATTATTATTATTAGAACAACGTAAAGCAATCGCATCCAATAAACCAACGATTCCATATGGATCTTCATTTAATTTACCTTCAGAGTTGAAAATTTGTAAACCAAGTGTATCATTGTTAACTAACCATGCAAGTATATGGAAATTAGTCAAACATGTATGAATTTGATCAACTCCAAATTTATGAAGTACACGAGCAAAACTCGGAATATCCTTTGCAGAAAATAAAAACAAGATGAGAATGGATATTTATTTATAAAGTGTGTAAAAGGTAGCTAATAAACAAACAAATAAACATTTCCTAAATAAATAAGAATTGGAAAATAAAACAAAGATGATAATTGACCGTAGTACTTAAGTTTACGACCAAAGAAATTCTAAATAAACAAATATACACATTATTAGTAAGGGTTCGTGGTTTTCGATTGATTATACTCAGAACTGTAAATGATTAGTCTCTGTTGCTATTCTGAACAAATTGTCTCAATTTAATGGTACATCAATAGTTGTGATCTATTTTAGGATATGATTGACAGTGGGATTTAGTGCATGTGTTTCATTCTGTTTGGGGCTTTTCAGTTGGATGTTACTGGTACATTTCAGTGTGAATGTTCAAAGTAAGAATTGAACTTAACAACTGCTGCTGCAAACGTCCAACGTATTTAACTACTGAGCCAAGATGGAAATTAACTTGTCCGACGATTATGGATGAATTAGCGAGAGGTTTCATTTATTACTTTTTTACTACTATTTACGATTGAAACTGATCAATCTCTGTGACTATATGTGTAAGCTGAGTACATTGTCTCGATATACCATTATATCACATGTTTTAATATATTTAGTACAAGGGCCCTCAAATGCCCTGGTAGGGCCGAGAGTGGGGAGAGTCCGCTCTCCCTCTCGAAATACTCTCACATAGCTACGCGTATATAGCCTCTGCCAGGGAAGTCCTACTCACTGCATTCTCGTGGCACCGGTATTGTTTACGAAAATGAGAGGACGAAAAGCGAATGTCCGGCGCTTTAACCGGATTCCAAACCAATGGTGCACATAGGCTCCAGTATCCTACGGGAACAAATGGCGTATGAACCAATCGTTGTTCACCAGCTTCCATGGGACTGCATCTCCTTACGATGCTCAACTGCCTTGTGGATCAGACCTTCAGGTCGAAGGCTCGGGGTCTGGCCCCCTAAGAAAACCACCTGATTCGGTTTGGGCACCCGGGCAATATCATAGCCCTCACACATATCGAAGGAGATTTTGTGTGGCGCATATGTATTTGGTGCCTCCTTGTACCAATATCTATGTGTTAAAATAAATAAAAATAAACAAGACAAAACATGTGTTCTGAATCCCAGTGTTACCTATATAACAAATATATAATTTTCCTAGGATACATACGTAATAGTGGTTTAAATTGCTTTAAAGCATACAACTTTAAATCAATAAGTTAAAAGTTAACAGATTTAGTTTCCATCCCTACTTTGATCTTATTAGACGAGTAAGCCAACTAACAATTGTGAGCAACATTACATGTTAAAAAAACATAACGCTCTTCATTCACGCATACACGAACATAAACTATCAATGAGTCAAAGTGATATATTATTACTGATATCAAAGTACGTACATAAAAAACACGTAGGAATTTCGTTAGAAAAACATGTAAATTTTAGATTGAGGATAATTTAAGATTTCCAGAAGTATTGTATTTAAATCAATGGACACATTATTATAGATTTAATCTATCAACAGATAAGGGAAAAATACCATACAGATCAAGACATTTAACATAAATCCATGGACAAACGAACACAAGAAAACTTACAAAGACAATCAATCATAGAGAAGAGTATCAGTATGAATTGATTTAACGCTTATGGAATAATAAGAAAGATAAATTCTATATGGATTAGGACATCAGTCTTATTCAGAACAATAATAAAAGTTTCCGAATGAAACTGTATTAAGTTCAAAGAACACAATATCAAATTCATGAACACTTTTACACAATATAAAGATAGAAAATAGAAGTATCATTGGAAAAGTTCCATTCCATAGTATTTTTTTCCTTACTAGAGTTTTGTTATATCCTAGCGAAGATTAAATTACGAATAAATTGTGAGATCTATTAATGAACTAATATTCTATAAATATTCCTATTGTATAACTATTCAGCGACTAGATTATGTATATCTATATTCCTCTTATTATAAGCTTCATTTTGACCTATGGATTGTTATTATACGACTTACTGTTCGTAAGTTATGTTCAGTTTATTGACTACAGTCTCCCACGTTCACAGCCACTTTTTGGCCTGATCTTGTATAAATGTTATTCGCTAGTTTATGGTTTGATGCGGTCTGGTATATAAACCAAATATGTTTGGAATAAATGAATCACATAGTGGAACCTGTTATTGGTGTTCTGGACTCAGTTGAACGGACTAAGCGAACAAAGCACCAATAAGGACGCTAAGCTGCTCAGACCAGTCGAACGTCATTGTTTTAGCATAGTATAAGAGTGAATAAATCGTATTTTGATTGGCAAAGAAATTACGTGATAACTAGCCGGACTTAAAGTCACAACAAGTTTCCTGTTGTATTTTTGTGTATAAGCTGTTTTAATTATAGAGGAAAATAAAATAAATACAGTTTCGTTCTACCTCTTTATTCAATTTCCAATTACTCCGTTCAAAATCTATTTCTATCTGGTAGCTTCATTTATAAAGTATAGTTGTATATATGTACTCGAAGTTCTAGAGTACGCAGGTACAATATGGAGGCTAGTGATACTACTACTGGATTGAGCTAAGTCGAATTAAACAAAGCTAGGTTAGAGTCTGTAATTCAGTAGTATAAGCATTAAGTTATCGCTCCGTAACAATTTCAGTGTTAAGACGACCGGATAGATGCCAAATTACAATTAATACAATTTTTAACGCTCGTTTAAAATAAAAATACCACTGTCATTAGTAGTGCTTTCAGTTATATAGACCCCAGTACATCAATCGATCGCTGAGTAGTGACTAATGCCATGTTTGTGTGTTGATCGGATTCTGTCAATCAAGTTGCAATGTAGCCACTAGTCTAAGCGACTGAATATCGTGTGAGCTATGCTTAGATGTTAAGGTAGTCGGATGTGATCAATAGACAACCTATACTTCATTGTACTGGCCACTTGTCACAAACGTCTATATGTAATCCTTAATGAACTGCTACTTACTGTAGAAGTCGAACACTAGTCACCAAGCTCCCTAGTCTGAGACTGTTACCTTTGAGCTGTTTGGGCTATATGACCTTATTTATTTATTTGAACAGATAAATATTGGTACAAAAGGGGACCGAATACACATACGCCACACAAGTTACTTGATTTGTGTGTGGGATATGATACTACTCGGGTGCCCAAACCGAAGCAGGTGATCTTAGAGAGCCACACTCCGAGCCTTCCACCTAAAGGTCTGATCCACAAGGCAGTGGAGCAACGTCAGGAGATGCAGTCTCATAATAGCCGGTGACCGACGATCGGTTCATACGCTATTTGTTTCCTTAGGATCCTGAAGCCCATGTACACCCTTGGTTTGGAATCAAGTTTCTCCAACTCCCCTAGGTTGACCCTCCGAGTCCACCAACCCGCTTAAAGAGTCGGGTATTCAATTTCTATCCTCCCAATTTCGTAAACAATAGACCGGCCGCGAGAAGGCAGTGAGTAGGGCTTCCCTGACAGTGACTGCATAAGCATGGCCATGTGAGAGCATTTCGAGAGGGAGAGCTGACTCTCTCCAGCCTCGGTCGTACCAGGGCATTCGGGGACGTTGCATAACCTACACTACTATCACACCAATGATCAGTTAGATTCACTGAAATATGATTTAGTTTTATCGGTGATACAATGTACAATATTGTTAAGTTATCCAAGCACCAGTTTGACTTGTTCCAATTTATGAAGCTTCTATTGGATAAAAATAATAAACTTTAAGAAGAAAGAAATAGTTTATATGGGTACTGAAAAAACTAGTATCATGCATGAATATATTATTAGTATTGATATAATGGGATGAAAAGTCAAAATTAGATAGATTTACTCATTATAATTTTTGTTCAACATTAATTCCGTTTTAGTTCAGTGTGATGATCACTGAATGTAATATTTGCTTTGTTTTTCCTGTACGATATTTTATCCTCTATAACATACAATATTCTTTGATTCAATTGATATGAACTAAGCCTAGTGTAAGATGTAGCATGTGATTTGTTATAACCCTAAATATTTTTCATATATGCAATTTCATCCTAATTATTAAGTAAAAGTGGGTATATGAATCAATATATAAATGAGTGTATTTTCGACTAGTGTCGTCGTCGTGTTTCGTGGTTAATAAATGTTCACTTGTACCAGTCTTTGTGTTTTTACTTTCACGTCGCCGGAATAGCGGTAGTTCCTCGTTTTTACGAGTATAAATGATTCCGACATAACAATCAACGACGACCAGATATAACAATTGATTAAAATGGTGTACAGGGTCGAAACGTATGGTACATAGATATCTTACTGTGATAATAAACATGCTTAAGGGTTGTTGAAGGACATGTCTTCGAATATTGCATACATATACTAATGTATATCCATATGCATTCTGTAGTAAATGAAATTAGTAATTAATATATTGTTAGTGCTTGTACAATACTTATTTGCGATCACTATTAATATTAAGATAGTAAGTTTATGGGAATGGTTACATTTAGTGATAGTTTTAATCAAGAACTGTGAAGTCAACTGCGGATGCAATGAAAAACAAAGGAACACTGCATTGTACAAGTAGTTTCGTTATGGTCTAGAAATATGTTCAGGAATGATTGAAATCCGAAATATGTCATCGTATTTATGTCGGAATGTTATTGTACTCATCATGTGCATTTGACGAATGGAGGATGCTACAAAGAAGTCCAATGCTCTCTAAGAGTTTTCAATAGTTCTTTAGTTGAAGTCAATCCGTGATGAAAAGGATCTTTAGATAACTAGTTCATAGAGTTTGTTTAGATGGAAGGGTTCAGTTTACATCACGGAATGACCTTAACTAGATAAACTTTGAAAATCATAAACCAATAGAACTGGTCTGTCCCAGTATGAGACTCTGCAGAAGTATGCACCTGTGACCTCAACGGGTATCAAACGCAGAACAATCAGTTTAGATGAAGTGCGCTTAACCTTTACAACGCTAAATCAACATCTAGTCGTTCACATTACTAACTTCAATAGAATAGTGATTTTGCTAATCCCAATGAGATACCATAACCAGTGGAGTTCAACCATGTAGAGTACAAGACAGTTACCCAATTGTCATCATCGTTGTTGTTACTCACATAGCGAAGAGTTACCCTTTAGATTTATAATTAATTCACAAATAATCAACTTCTGGTATATATAAGTGAATAAACAAACAAATTGTACAACTTGTTCGTTATGATTATTTATCATTTGCTAAATGATTACAAAATACAAACCGGATCAATATTCTTAACAAATAAAACAAAAACACGTAAACTAATCAGTCAATAAGATTTCAAGCAAGACATAGCAACGTAACTTAGAAATGAATACACAATGCATGAAAACACAATTTCCTTAGAATAACAACAATAATAAAAGTGGAAGGCATTTCTTTTTAAAGGTGTGTTTATCTATATACATATATAGTAGTGTTTTTCTCTTTCTTGGAAAAGAGAAAAGAATACTTTATCTATTTTTACTAGTAAGATAGACATTTCTAAGAATAAGCCATTTCCTTTTATATTAAACCATACAACATGAATTAATTGAATTAAGGCAATGAAGACAAACATAATTACATAAATGGTTAATTATTAATGATAATACTAATAATAAAATTAGTTAATTAACCAGAATAATTATTAATCATCTTTTACATAACAATATTTAAATGATGGTAGACTAGATCAAATAAAGTAGCGGGGTGAGTTCAAACCTAAGGCATTATGGTTGGAAGTTAAGTTATCTTAACAACTAGAGCATAATTTGATTGGTCTTTTAGTATATATACTAATAAAGGTCACCAAATGCCCTAGTACGGCCGAGAGTGGGGAGAGTCCGCTCTCCCTCTCGAAATACTCTCACATGGCCACGCGTATACAGCTTCTGCCAAGGAAGTCCTACTCACTGTATTCTCGTGGCACCGGTATTGTTTACGAAAATGAGAGGACGAAAAGCGAATGTCCGGCGCTTTAACCGGATCCCAAACCAATGGTGCACATGGGCTCCAGTATCCTACGGGAACAAGTGGCGTATGAACCAATCGTTGTTCATCGGCTTCCATGGGACTGCATCTCTTTACGATGCTCTACTGCCTTGTAGATCAGACCTTCAGGTCAAAGGCTCCAGGTGTGGTCTCCTAAGAAAACCACCTGATTCGGTTTGGGCACCCGGGCAGTATCGCAGCCCTCACACATATCGAATGAGATTTGTGTGGCGCATATGTATTTGGTGCCTCCTTGTACCAATATCTATATGTTAGAATAAATAATAAATAAATAATGAGCGAACTATAAGAATAAGAATATTTGTTCTTTGTACATATATGAATATTCCCCCTAAAGAAACAGTAAATAATGAGTGAAGCTTAAATACAACCTATATCTTATTATAGTACATTGCATGTCCTATAACACTATTGATGTAATGTATGTATTTACTCTGTTATAATTGTGAACATCTAAGTTGATTGACATTTATACCAAGTTCAATAATGTATTATAACTATTAGTAGGGATTTTCTATATACACAATTAAAAATTTGATCAATCTAGTTGGGATAATATATGTATCCTGTATGAATTGTACTCATTATATTAGTTATTTTGTCCCAATGAGGTAATTACATCTAGTAGATTGATGAGTCCTATATAAAACGAAATATATTCTAGATTTCATTGAAAGCTATAGTTATATTCATTGTAGAAAAAAAAACAGAATTAATGTTAAGATGGATAGTGGCTAGCAGTGGAATCTAGGACGCGCGTTTCGTCCTGTTTGGGACTCGTCAGCTGGATGTACCTGCTTGTAAATTAAGGCAATATCGAGGCATACGCACAGTATGCACATATGCCAATAAAAGACTGATCAATTTCAGTCCTAAGACATCAATGGGAAGATTCAAGTAAAACAATACCAAGTGAATTAGAGTTAATGTTAGTTTTCTAGTCTCGTATAAATAAAAGTTGAGACAAATTTAGGTAAGATAAAAATTGTTCAGCGGTAAATACTTTTAATGAAAATATTAGACTGAGGTATTAGTAATAACACTTGCTATTTTACACAATTCCGTTAATACTAACTTTATAATATAGGTTTATTTAAATGGAGGATATTTGTTGTTTAGATGAATACTTCTTTTTATAGTGTTTTCAGTTCTTCAAATTGGATTGGTCAATATACGAAGACATCACTGTTAACTTGGACAACACCAAGTAGAAATGTTTAAAATAATAATAATAGTAATAAAGTGTATTCACAATTTCATTTGAAACGTTAAACTATCATCATCAAGAAGAGTAAAGACAATTATTGCACATATATATATATATATATATGTATACAGGACTTACTTGAATTTGACCTAGACACTCACGATTCTCAATTGGAAATTGAAAATCAGCTGGAAAATCATTAGGAAATTTAGCCATTGTATAAAATGGTTCAATTGGAAAAGCTGTTGGCATATTTGTTAAGAGAAACTCAACTGGTAAAGGACGAGCTACACGTGTAACACGATTACCATATTTATCCTTGGTCTAAGGATTTAAAACATTTTAGGAGAGGGGAAAATATATATGTAAGCGGTTAAACATTGGTTCAAAATATAAACAAAAGGTGAAAAACAATATGCATAACATTTTGAAAGTTCTACATAAACAAATGATTAATGGTAATGATCTCGTTAAGTAAGGAACGTGATTATAAAACCCAAGAAATAGCTGGTTGAGACAGTTTTCATATGTCTTTATAGTGAGTGACTTTTGCTGTATTAGCATAGCACTTTTCAAACCTTACAATTGGTGCCGAAAATCCATTCGGTCAAGTGAGATGACTTACAAGATGGCTAATAATCAGGTCTAACACTTGGGTCATAATTGATTAGAAAATAAATGATCTCTAAATTGATTTCCTTTGATCACATGTGACATTTGATCATGTTTGTTTTGTATTCATACTGTAAATATTAGTATACTATTCTACTACATAGAGATCTATTCATATGGTCAGTAACTTTTATTGATTTTTAATTATTTGGGAGCTTGAGTCAATAATTCAGTTAACAACCATCAATCTGACATACTTCACATCATTGCGTTCAGCTATCAATCAGCATTTGATACAATCAACAACTCGCACATCAATCATTAAAAGCCTCTTTCCAATACAATAAGTCAATGATTCTTGATAAATTGTCCTATCTGTGGGAAGAAAACACTGTAGGATGAAACAGATATATTCCACTGTTTATCTTCTCAGTTCATATACATTTCAAATGTTTTCTTTCTAGTTTATTTCCTTTCATTTCATTGTCTGTAGTTAACAAGCATGATAGAAACATAGTAGATTTTTGTTTATGGAACTAAAACTAACTACTTATTTAACAAGTAAAACGTTATGTAATCCGGTCTTTGTCCAATAATAACTTTGTATGAAAGTTAGTAATACAATTCGATTGTTCAAAAATTTAAAAGCATATAGAATAATCCGTTGAGAATTGATCAACCAACTTAAATAAATAAAACTTGAAATTAGACTTATTCAAAATAATTAAGAAAACAAACTATTACTATCAGAAAACGGTTTTGTGGATATTATAGTAATTTAATAGTTACGTTTATGAGTCAATAGAAGCTGGACCACCATGGAAAATCTTGAAGCATTATCTAGATGGCTGCTTCATCCTATGGTGGGACTACTACTACTACTACAACTACTGTGGTGTGTACTACTTATATTGACATATGTAGTATATGATGTTAGTTGTGAACAGAAGGTCTGACAGCAGAGAAACAAGAGAATCGAATAGTAAAGAATGGAAACAGCATGTAATTCGTATGAAAATGCAAGAACAATGAAGTCTGAGTCATTTTGAGACAATTGTTGGACATTTTGCAAATTAAGCATTTACTTTATGATTGTTAGATCTTATTAACAAGCCCTGTAATTTTGTGTTAAATACATTCGATTGTCCCCACTGGTGTTCGTGTTCACTACACTACTACTACCACTACTACTATTAAGAATAGTAATAATGACAATTGTTAATATCATCATTATTTCAACACATATCAATGCAAATTCACTTAGTGTTGTTTGGCTTGTATCTTCCCAGTGAGGTTTAATACTGCAATTGATCAGTCTGTTATTAACATATGTGCATATTGTGCGTATGCCTCGATATTGCCTTAATTCACAAGCTTTTTGTAAGCAATGATGACGTTTGAAGCGAATGGTACTGGGTTCGAGTCCCATAGTGAACATCAACTCTCTGAGATGCAGGCACATCCAACTGACGAGTCGCAAATAGGACGAAACGCGCGCCCTGGATTCCATTGTTATCCACTATCCATCATTGCTTACATATCAATGCAATTTAGAAATGAGAAAAAAACTCAATTTTTTGGTAGTTTATTCATGACATATTTAAAGGTCATAGAAAAATATTTTGTTTTTTTTTTGGATGGTAGATACATACTTGAAATTGTGTGAATTATTTAAACCAAATATGCATAACATAAATCTTAACAAAATAATAATTAATTCATGTACAATCAAATCAGTTGATAAATAAAAGTCAGGACTAGTTAGACTATGAATAAATAATTAGTATGAGGTTAAAAAGTATAGAACAATCATATTGTTCTCTGCTTGATACATATATATATGTATATACTATGCAAATTATAGAGTTAGAAAATTCTATGTTCAGTTGTTATAGATTATGATTGAAATTTATTAGTTATATAATTTACCCTTGTGGGTCAGGGTAATTTTACATTGGTTTTCAGGAGAACCAAACACTATCCAAACTTTCACGTGACAACCCAAACAATACAGCTCAATCCCGCTTTACAGGAGAACCAGACACCGTATAGGCTTTAACGCTACAATCTGAATAGTACAGCTCAATCCTATGATGCAACCATACAAGTACAAAGCATCCTGGTTGATCAATGATTGAAATTTAGTTAAGCTATATGATATTTCATTGAAATCATGAACCGATCTATATTAGATCACTATTGAAAACCAGGAAACAATGGATAATCGTTTTTATTCTGAAGTGCGTACCCATCATTCCACAGACACACACATCGGATTCAAACCCGGTACACCTTCAAAACTTCAAACGGAAAATCACATGATAATTATTCACTTAACTACAATAATTTACAGTTCATTCCGATGAGAATGATTACAATAGTGAAATCAATTGAACAATTATATCTATGAAATTACATAAGAAGTAGGTAGGAGTACAGAAAAAGTGATATTTAATTAAATAAGTTAAATTAATACAACTGTATTAAAAATACAATAAACAAGAACACAAATTTTGAAAAATACACCAGAAAATTAATAAAGTAAGAGTAATATATTAATTATCATTATTATTAGTAGTAGGATTAGGAAAAACAAAAAAAAAAACAATACTTATAGTTATAGTTACAAGTACGAATTTAGCAACTACTAATAATTTTAATAGTTAAATTTATGAGTTAATTGAAGCTAGATCACCATAGAAAACCTGAAAACATTGGGCGGCCATTTCGTCCTATCGGTCTCGCATGCGAACGCTTAACCTCTAAACCACTGAGCCGGAATCCAACGGTGTTAATATCTAACTTTAACTAATCTATGAAATTGAGTGACATATCCACCATTGTCTTCAGTTAAAAACATATGGAAATGCATACTAATAAACTTTACAAAGTAATAGTTTATATACATATAACATAATTTTAAAAAAAACCCAGAAAAGATGGAACATATATTAGTGAACAAGGGAAGTGAAGTTAAACATTGATATGAAAGAACTATGAGCTGTTAGTAAACAATAAAAAATTTTAAAGGATATAAATTAAGAATTTCATTCGTAAAGCAAAACAAAAAAGAGGGCATTTTGTGTATGTGTGTGCGTGTGAGTGAGTGAGAGAGAGGTGGGGAAGGTAAGGGAGACGAGGCGGTCTGAATAATGATAAAGAATTATGTGGATAATTTTACTGTTGTTTCTCTATAAAAAAAAGTATATATGATATTTGAGATAAGTGATGGTGGTCTAGCTTCAATTGACTCATGAGTTCATTTAGTTTATGCCTTGAATATCATCTATAAGAATGATAGTGTTAAGATATTTATTTATTTCTAGGGTATTAATGAAAAGATTTACATCATTATAAATTTGTGAATCAATCAACATATACTTCTATGAACATAGATAATAGTAATTTTAAGTAATATGCTTAATTAAAGAATATTTTGACTAGAATTTTTTCTCCTTTTCACAATTATTGATAAACTTTTGAATAGAACTATTAAATAACTTGAGATTATTTATGTTATAAATTGTGGATTTGTGCCTTTATCAATGTATAATGTAATGGTACCACCAATTAGAGAACAGTGATTTATTGACTGGACCAATGATGCATAAAACACGTGCAAGCAGTTTAGAGTACTTATCGGTTCGGCTTCCTGCCCAGTCCTGCCTGTTAAGTGCAGAACACCACTCTCAGCCTCTGCAATTGTTGGGATATTCGGAAAAATATACCAATAATTATCCTGTTAAGTCTAATGGTGTCCTTGGACTTTAAATGGACATTCCCTATTGCTAAATGTTTATTTCACTTGTCAAATATTGTACAAATGTTGTTTTCTATTTTATGGTACGATGTGGTCTGTTTGATTGGTATATAAACAGAGTATGTTTGAAATATAACGATTCATATCTCAGAGGCTGAGACTTCCGTTCTGGACTCAAATGGCTGGGCTAGACAAAGAGGCCGGGTCAATCGGAACTCTAGGCCGTTCGTGCGTGTTTTACGTGTCATTGCTCCGATCGATAATTCGCTGAGCATCTAATTTGCAGTCCACAAAACACAACACAATATAAATCATCTATTTCAAACATACTTGGTTTATATACTAACTAGATAGACCACATAAAACCATAAAATAGGAAACATTTGTACAAGATGACGCCAAATGTGGATGTGAATGTGGGAGATAGTAATTGATAGACTGGGTATAACTCAAGAATGGTAAATCGTATAATAACAGTTCATAGGTCAAAATAAAGTTTATAATAAGAGAAACATGAATATGAATAGTTTAGTTACTTAACAATTATACGATAAAAATATACGCATAGTATTGGTCCATAAATGGATCCTAAAAGTTACCATTCATTATTCCCATCGGAATATAACAATTTATTAAAAATAAAGTTTCCAATAAATTTGAAATAGTAATTTGAAGATTAAATAAACTTCAGTATAAGAAAATATGTTGCCTATTTGGCAATAAAATAGTTTGAAGGTTAAAATAGATTTTTTTAAAAATTGAAACCTATTTACGAGTTGATTGCAAAAACACTTTCATTAATAACTGTTAAGATGACATAGATAACAAATTGCTTTAAAAGACAACAAATTTTGTTAACATGTGAGGTTTTATAAACAATTGAAAAATCCCCTTACAGGTAAATCATTTTATTTCTTAGTAACTGATAAGTGAAATCATATTAAGTCAACATTTATTTAATGAAATGATAGATATATAATTAATGGCAAATGCATTTGTGAATGAATGTACATACATGAAATCCATTTAAATAATACAACTTTATCGATAACCAAATTAACTACTGGATGTAATGAAGTTAAGTGTATGCTGAACTAGAAACTTTTGGAGGGTAATTTACCCGTATTTCAAAAAATCCATTCTGATGTACAGTTTTTTACTGAAATTTGTCATATTTAATTTTAACTACTGAGTGTTAGTAAGTAGTAAGATTTTCCGACAGATATTATTGGACTAAACCTGACCATTGTAATACTCTTAGGCGATCAAGACATATGAAATCAGATTTTAAAAAGTGGACTTTTTTCTCTGATATACATACTAAAGCCATTTAATAAAGGTAACGAAGGAAATTTCAGAACACGCAATGAAACGTATATAAAATAATCAAGGAAAGAATAGGAACTAACATGAGAAAAGTAGTAGGGTGATTAAAACGTTGAGAAAAGTGAAAAATGTTTGGATAAACGGATTTATAGAACTGAAATAGGTTTCACTGATTAGGCTCAGTGGTAATAATTTCAACACTTGTACTATGATTAACAAAAAGTTGAATAACGCTCGTTTCCCTTTTAGTATTTGTAAATTATACGGAACAAACTACTCGATCTGAATACCAAATTTAAAGCAATTTCTGATAATAAGTTTAAATTCATGCAATAAGATAGTTCGCACGCAAAAGCTTACCTAACGAATATATATATATATATATATATATATATATATATATATACTGCTAATTTTATACTGCATAGCTTTAAGTGTTAACCCATCATTTGTAGAATATCCCATGATAACAATTGGTTGAATAAAGTTGGGATAGTAGTGGAATCCACGACACACGTTTCGTTCAAATTGGGACTAGTCAGCTGAATATATTTACTAAATTCAAGCGTTAGTGTTCACACTAAGACTTGAATCCTGGTATTTTTCCCTTCAAATAACAACTAATGATAAGAAAAATTACATAAGCCCCTGTAGACAAAGTTAGAGTTGTTTCCTTTTCATTTGGCGAAAACAAAATTAAACGAAACACACATACCGCATAAAACACCTCTGGAACGAATTGTTCTTTTGTAGTTTCTTTTACATAACCTAACTCAGGTGCATCATATGTTGGCACAAGAATATTATCTTTCACTAACGCCATAGCTTGATTACTAACTTGATAAGCTTCAAAATGTATATGATTCGATGCATCACCAGTGACAACAACCGTGGTAAATTTGGAACCAAAACATCCATCAGGACTTAGACGACAAATATTTGGATGAAGATTTTGTAGATGAGCAGCAGTGACACATTCTTCAGCACTTAAAAAGAAAGTATCCTGTTGAAGAAGAGAAGAAAAAAGAAGTAATTCTACATCATGTATGAGAATAAGAGAAACAACTAGCAAAATAATACAGTTGGACAATGTAAGAGAAAATCACTGATTACGGTTCATTTTTTGGAATGGTCAAAGTGTAATCTATTAGATATTTTGTGAGTAAAAGTATTCCCTCAGATAGGAATCACCACTAAATAAAGGTATTTCAATAATGAACAACAAAGCTGTTTAAAAGTTAAGTGTTCGCACCACAGACCAAAGGATCTGATTTTTACCTTTAGTAGAGTGATGGATGTACGCTGTTAAGAATTTTCATAGTTAAATGAAACGGCTATTTAGAGCTTCTTGATTTCCATGGTTCGCGTAACTAAGATTCTCCTGTGATGAAAACTGCATTTCTGTGACAAAATTACACTTGATGATTAATTACACTAGAGTAGAGCAAAAATGCGACTTAAAAAATACAATATACTGATTCTATTATACAAAAGGAGATGAAAATCGTTTTAAAGTAATCAGTGTAAAAAGGATTAAAAAGATTTTATGATAAACATAAGTTATTGATTAATAATGGTAACTTATTTATCAAGAGTATAAATTTACGTACACGAATTTCATAAACACTATCCCTGTCTCATGGTCAGTTCTTGTTGTTAGTCGATTCAACATACACCACTTAGTTCTTACTGTTACCATCAACATACATTTAATCAAAACCAATGAACTACTATGGTTGGTCAATCATAATGGTTCTCAAAGAGACGTTTTAAATTATGACATTACAGTTGAAATACTACCATAAACTTAATAAATATGTTTAGAAGGTTATACAGTTAAACACAGATATATCGAGAAAAAAGACTTTCTTTATTGCTATGCCCTGGTAAGGCCGAGAGTGGGGAGAGTTTACTCTTCCTCTCAAAATGCTCTCACATAAGCCACGCATATACGCCCACTTCCACGGAAGTCCTACTCACTGCCTTCTAGCGGCCGGTATATTGTTTACGAAATTGAGAGGATGAAAATTGAATATTCGACGCTTTAAGCGGACTGGTGGACACGGAGGGTCAACCTAGGGGAGTTGGAAAACCCTGGTTCCAAACCAAATGTGCACATGAGTTTCAGGATTCTAAGGAAACAAATGGCGTTCGAACCCATTGTTAGTCACCGGATACCATGGTGCTTCATCTCCCAACGTTAATCCACCGTCTTGTGGATTAAGCCACTAGGTGAAAGACCCCTAAGGAAACTACATGCTTCGGTTTGGGCACATATAAATCACTAGTTTCTGTAATTTAAACGATCATTCTTCAACTATATTTCAAATGAAATAGTTTTTCATACACATAGCTCCATTGATTATCTTGAAGAGAGAACGATAAAAGATCCTAGTAGAATAGCACGAATTCATTTTTTGTTTGGTTCAAAGTCAACTACTTACAACCTTATTTATTATTTATTTATTTATTTATTTAAACACATAAATATTGGTACAAAGGAGCACCGAACACAAATGCACCACACAAGTCACTCGATTTGGGTGTGGACTGTGATACTGCTCGGGTGCAGAGACAGAAGCAGATGGTTTTCTTAGTGAGTCACGTCCAGAGCCTTCGACCTAGAGGTCTGATCCACAAGGCAGTGGAGCAACGTCAGGATGCGACTCCATGGTATCCGGTGATCAATAATTGGTTCATACGTCATTTGTTCCCTCAGGATCCTGGAACTCATGTGCACAATTGGTTTGGAACCAGGGTTTTCCAACCCCCTAGGTAAATTCTCCGTGTCCACCAACCCGGTTAAAGCGTCGGACATTGGTTTTTTGTCCTCTTAATTTCGTAAAGAACACCGGTGCCGCGAGAGGGCAGTGAGTAGGACTTCTGTGGGAGTGGCTATATACGCATAATCATGTGAGAGCATTTGGAGAGGGAGAGCGGACTCTCTCCGCCCTCGACCATACTATGGCATTTGGGAGATCACTAAAAACAGTAATTACAAAATAGATTTAAATTAATTATATGAAAGAGTTTAGTTGGAAGTTATTTTGAAATAGTTTTACTGAATTATTGCACCTATATTCTAGATTTGATTTATACTCAGCGATTCGAATCCAAAACTATTCGCGTTAAACACTAACAGGATGAACCACTCAGCTACTGATCAAAATTCAGTCAAAATATTAGTAATGGGATAATGCAAAAAATCATAGAAATAAACTCAACTACATATATTCTTTGGATAGTTGGAAATATTTCGAAAAAAAAGAAGTCAACAACTACATTTCATCAAACTAATGCTAAATATTTCCCCAATCATCTAATTTACTTATTCATTAATGCTTTTTTGGAATAAATTCTTAACAACCAAAAACAAATAATAATATCTATGTACCAATCGAATAAGTTAATGGCGTTAATTGGATCTGTTTTAGTTTGAGCGAATAACAGATGTTTAGGCGTTTGAAATAAAACTTACCAAGTTCATTTAAGCATGTTAGTGTGGGACATTGATAGAACAATGTTGATATAACTGGATGATTAGTTCCAAATTGGATAATTCCAATGTTAACCACATATAATCAAATATATTATTAAAATATTCATACAAAAAGAAACTGTTTATTAATCAAGAAATAAAAACACAAACTACTTACCACAGTACCACGAAAATGTTTGACAACACCATTACCATTTGAGTTTTGAGCGACTAAATCAGTAAATATCCAACCAACTGGCTGTAGACCAATTCGTTTAGCAACTTCCATGACATGTTTTGGTAAAACATTGTCGAGTGGACCGATTAATTTTACTGATTTCGGTGTGGATTCCTAAAAAGCGACAATAACAAATTAGGATAAATGTATTTTAAATAATCGGTAGATCTATTCTCAATAAACTTGTTCATTTATTTAAACATAAACGTTGGTACAGAGATATATATATGCGCCACCTAGTAGAAACGAGATCGTGGAGATATAAAAAGGGATATGAGTATAATACAAAAAGAGCAAAAATGAATAAAAATTAGTGTACGATGGTGAAATAATAATAATAATAATAATAATAATAATAATAATAATAATAATAATAATAATAGGAGAAGCAGTTCGGTTACGAACAATACAACCAGAATGGATTCTTTCAGTTGTAGAAGTTCATTTCATTTATATGAAGAAAGTAAAAGAAAATTACAGCAGGACCGCCACCGGCTTCTATTATTAGCCATATCTGACGCCTCAAACCACTGAGTTGCACTGTCTCTAGAACCATAACCATGGAGTCGTGAAGGATCAACAGAAACCAGTCCTCTGCAGTTTTCTTTCATATCAATGACACCATGTAATATAGGTAGTTAGATTTAGTATGGTCAAATATTTGAACACCGGCTTAATAGAAACATGGATAAAATTTCATATATGATATGTAGTGATAACCAAGGCGATATCACTCAATAAATAATTATACGTTTGTATCCAAGGTGTTCAGCTATCTTCAGGATTATAACAAGGGTATTTACGTAGCAGAGAGCTGTTTAAACCTAAGAACATATTATGAAATAAAAGTTAAATAATTGTATGAACGAATTTTTGATTATCACATGAAAAACAATACGCTTATGGATAGACAATATGCAATGATAAAGTGTAACTAAGGAATAGCTGTTCAAAAGATTATCTTATTGACATAAATCCCTGAGTGATTTGAAATCAATGACAAGACCAGTAGATTGATGAATAAGTTTTAATAACACACATAATAAATATTGACGGGTGATTGCAAGGAATTAGTCTTGTAGGTCAAACACCAATCAATTAGAACTTTAGTCATCACATCAGATACGAAAATCATAAATATAGCGCACAAATCACTAACCTACCGTTTCATATACATCAGATATAATGAATAGCTAGATGAATAAATCTGTATTTGATCAATGGATGGAAATGAAAGACAACTTTACCTAAAATTTTCTTATTTTGATCAGTAACTTAATGAAGGATCAACAAAGTAAGAGTGCATACAAGATTAACAATCATACAATATTACAAATTGGTTGAATTTGTAACTTTAAAATTATTTAGATAGAGTGTAGTAATTCTAAGAGCCTAAGGTAAAAACCAAAACAGAATATCATTTAGATAATAAATTTTAGACATAAAATAACAACTTTATCCTTTTTACTTGAGCTGGTTCATAAATTACAGCTACAACTGCTTTTATTGCTAATGGAGGTGAACCTGGTGCATTGAAATGAGCATATCGGCCAAGCATAATACCAATACGTTGACAACTCGTTTGTCGCCAATAATCCAAAAATGTATTCATTAATTGTGGATTTTCAAATTGTACAAAATCTACATGACGATATGGCTGAATTTCTAAAGTTACTGGATTCGGTTGACATTTAGTACAAATTCCATTAGGCCATGGAGGATGATCACGACAACCGGGACGAATATGACAACTTAAATTTTCCAAAGATGAAAATTTTCCTCTACGAATAAAAAGATTATTGAAAATAAATGTGTTACTTGAAAAACGCTTTATTAAATCTAAAAAAATTTACTACTTATTAATTAGTAGACAACTAGTTGAATTGAAAACGATGCGATAAAATATATAGCTCTTTGTCACATGACCATGCGTATACAGCCACTTCCACGGAAGTCCTACTCACTGCCTTCTCGAGGCGGGTTTGCTGTTTACAAAACTGAGAGGATGAAAATCTAATGTCCGGCGCTTTAACTGGATCGGTAGACACAGAGGGTTCACCTAAGGGGGTCGGAAAACACACAAATCAATGATTACTACTACTAACCTCATAGTTATTGTATGACGTATGTCTATCTGGTGCACTCTTGTACAAATGTTTATATGTCCAAATATATAAGTAAAATAGTTATACATCTTGATACTGTAATCATTAATTTATTAAAGAAGAATTTATGTAATAATAATCTGTGTGTACACAGATGAAACAAACTTAAATTTTCATAATAACTATGTTTCATAGATATTTAAGGGTATAAGATTTCACATTTAAGTAGATGTGATTAGCATCTGAAGGAGTTTTGTGGAGACTTTAGTAATTTTAATAGTTGAGATCATGTGTGTGATGTAATTAATCTTACTGTAATATTATAACAATGTTTTAAGATAGAAAATTCAAACGTCTATTGTCCACAAGAATTATTTAATTTATCCTGATAATCAATTCCTTTAAAGGTATACCTTCAACATTTTATTCACATACACATTGACAGTTATCCTTAAATATGTTTACTATGACGAAATATATAAAACTAGAAAATATGATTGATATACAATACTATTGTATGAAAATATGTTGTGATAGAGCTCTACAGAGAGGATATAATATTTAATTTCTTTTAGTAACTAAACTAAAAAATTTATTTATATGTAGGAAGATGTGAAATCTGTCAACTTTTTTTAAAATCATGAATTAAACAGTGGAATATTGAAGAATTGTGACTACTTTATACAACGGTAGTATAAGAAAAAGTAATATTATCCCACTCACTTGATTAACACTGACTGTCAGTGATTTCATTAACCCAAACAACACAAAATACAGTAATACACGTTTAGATCGGGGTAATAGATTGACATATTAATCACTCCTGTTGGTGACTAAGGTACCCTATGTGACACCTATCTTGAAAGTTTAATCAGTTCTCGTGAATTGGTGTCCGACAAAATTTCAGTGCAAATTCAGAAAGTTCAGCTGGCTCTCGGTAACTTACGTTACTTTTCGTGTAGGTAAGATGTTCTACCAACTAGAAAAACGAGTATACTGCTCAGCAGTTCTGTTTTATCGTTATGAAATATAGATCCTAAAAATAGAGCATATTCATAGGTCACTAATATTTCGCGTAATTTGGGACCATCGGGTAGGCAGTGCAGAGGTTAAATGCTAAGTAATAAAAAAGATAATAAATCAAATGGCCAACTTGTGAATCTTCAACAACTGAAATGGCTAGAATATGTATTACGTATCACCAAATGTCGGCTACTTTGGACGCGCATTTTGCTAGTGTAGTCGTTTGGAAGAAAGCGAAACATCAGACCAAAATGTGACATCAGCCTATGAAGATAGTGACTGTCGGACTAAGTCGTGTTGGCAGATGCAGACTACATGGTTATGGTCTCTGCGATTATTGTAACCAGTAGTTGGAGATGTCACGTAACATGACTCAATATCAATCACAACGCCATATATGTATTCAATCCCATCGTTCCTTAAGTCTTGGGTCCTAAAATGATCTTATGCCTTTTATGCCACGAATTTATTATTTTTTGTTGAGTCATATCGTCTATGTTCTATTTTTTTACTATCCCTGATACTGTTACTACTTATATTACTCTTACATTTTTCCTGATACTTTCATCTGGGTGTGCCCATCCGATGTAGAAAATTCAACAGATGCACATATGTGCCAGGGCTCTATGTTGCTTGTGACTGATTGATAGAGTCGAGCATCCGACTTAAACGATGATTGGCTGTGACTGTAACTAATCAACTACTAAGACTGATTAGGTCAAAAAGGAAATGGTGACAAAAAATACATAAAATAACAAATTCCGAAAGATATTTCTGAATGCTTTAAGATGAGACAAAAAGGTGAGATCACATTCCAGACCAGTAAGATTCCTGTTCAACGTAAGGCTCATTCTACGTTAACGTGACATGTATTAACTGTGATACTCTTTGTAATTATCTGGTGTGAACATCATGTAGTATGATAAGCAGTAAGAGTTTTTTGTAGCGATTTCGTGTAATACTTTTGTATTGCCTCGAATTCGGTTGTATGTGACATTTGTGAGTAAAATCGATATTTAATGGTGTATTTAGTTGAATAAAATATCTTTCTGTCATCAGTCCTGGCTATTTTAAATATACGTCGTGCGAATCAGTGTTCTTCCTTATTACAAGTATTATTTCCTTCAGAGTTATAACAGAATGAATCTAAATGATAGTATCAACACCATTTCTTGTATATTATAATACTGTCCTAATCTTCCTTTCTCATTGAAATACTTATTTTTTTATTATAGTATGTTATGGATTTGCAACAAGCTACCTGATATTATCTGTTTTAAAGCTCCGTTGTCTTGCTCCTGTAAGATCGAATGATATTACTATCAATTAAATACACAAATCCTATTTACTTCATATATACCTCGTTGATTAGTCTTGTCAATAACAACGTGGTTGAAAACGAAAGCATTCGAAGAACGTACATTTCAAAGGTTCAAAAATGTAGACGAACGATAAGAAATGTATGTGAAGTAGTGATAAAAACAGAAAACTCAATTTCATCAAGGATGATTCAATACTCACAGTCAGACAGAAAAAACAAGCTAAAGGCATGTGACAAAGAGACCACGTGATAATCACAAACGCACATACACTCATACAAAAACAATAAACGTTACAAGCGAATATGCAGAAAAATAAACTTACTTGCTCTGACCACCAGTTAATTTACGTAGATATGCATGAAATGACATAAATTTCACTGGAGGATCTAAATGTTCCAAATAGGCTGAATCAAAAGGCTGCAAGTTATAAGGAGAAAAATCACAATGTCATGTGGCTACATGGATATCATTACTAATGATTACACAATGATCAGTAGCGATCAGCTGTATGCATTAGATCAATTATAAACCATGAACGAATGTAGCATAAGATGATGGTAACAATCGTACGCTTATCGACTAGATTGTACACTGATGACTATCTCTGTCTTGTATTGGGTCTTACAGATCAATATGGAGACATTTTTATATGACTTGAATTTTAAATACCAATATGACATCAGATAATCAGATCTACCAGCTGAGACTTGTTATATAAATTATTCTACGATTATTGTAAAAGGTTATTAACGCAAAGAATATTGTTCTTATAAGGCTACTAAACAATTACCGCTTACTGCACTTCTACATTATGGTTGACAGTGGCTGACCCCAATCTACTGCATTACTGGAAGCATAAAAATGATAGGTGGTCATACAATTATTTTACATCAGTGACAGAAAAATGTATTCTATTTGGCACAGACAAGTTTATCAGCAAAATTTATATGTTTATCTCAGCCACACAGATAGAGAGCAAGTGTGATCTTATGGGGAAGAAAACCCAATTACTAACTCTCCGTAGCTTTTATACGTACGTGAATCTTCTTTTAAGGGAAACCGAGACTGAAGTGTTCAACTAGAAGTGATTAAATCTGCACACAACTTTGTTTAACATGGAATATTGTGAAGATAGTCTGATAGCCACTTGTAATGGAAAATTAATAATGAGACTTAAAGACCGAAGATGTCAAAACAGAATAGTATTTGTATCACCAAAGTCACTTAAATTAAGCTGTCAATAGTAGTATCACTGATAACTTTTACCATAAAATTCAATTTCTACCAATACAATAATATTCATTTTTAATCTACTTACGTATTGATCAATTAACGTGGTGCTGTCAATCAGCATGTATCTGTACAAATATGTTAGAAATCTTAATCATAATGCACACTAGTGGTTGTAGCACCATCATCACCAATCGTGCATACATATTTATTGAACATTGAAAACCCAAGTAAATGTATACTTTCAAATACAATATTTTAAAGGTGTATGAATGGTGTTTGTTATCCTAGCGTTTCTACTATTACTTAACATAAGTCAGTCAGTTACAAACGCTATAGAACCTGAAAACAAGGTGTATCACCTTAGGTTACATCACGTTAGTACAACTAGATGACAGCATCGAGATGAATAACAATTTTTCAGATAGAAAAAGAAAAGAATTAGGGATTGAGGATATAGATCAAGAAGAATGAATTCGTAAAATAGGTATTAAAAATCTAAAATTCAGTATCTAAAGCAGGACAACGAATGAACAAATATGAGCCATTGTGACCGATTTCGAGACACGGCACTCAATGTCTGCAACAGCTGGTTATGACAATCTTATGGAGTATAACTAAAAAAAAGCATTTTCAACTGATAAAGCTCTTCTATAACGGCGAGAAATCCTAGCGTCCATTTCGATGCACTGTGAACTACAACTCCTATTTTTCGCTTTTTAAACCTAGCTAAACTCAAAAACAAATCATAAAAGGAAGATTTATCGATTAAGACAAGCAGCAATGGGATACATATGTATATATTATATATAGTGTCGAAATGGACACACTGAAAGAGTAATGAAACAATCATGACAAAGTGCATTAAGTTGTGATGAAAATGACTCATGACTACAGTGGGAAATCTTAAAGTAGAAGAAAAGAAATTTGAATTTTACAGAAACCAAGTGGCGAAACGGATAGTAGGTCGTTTTGCATAAATTCAGATATCTTCCACAGAAAAAAATTAAACTGAAATTTATAACCAATATGTCACTTAAACATTTACTACTAACAAGTCCGTCTTAGTTGAAGAGATGTATCATGAGCAATAAATGTATTAACAACTAGTTCACATAGAAACCATTCAATTCAGCTCTAGGATGAGGAAACGAATAAAAATCTCAACTGATAATTGAGAATTAGAATTAAATTACCTCAAGGGGAACACAGTGGATACATTGCCCAGATAAGGGATGGTGACATCTAAAAGTAAAAAACGTCTAAACAGTAAATTGGTAAATGGAAAAAAGTTGAACATCCTGTAGAAAGACGTTTACAATGTTTTATGAGTCAAATGCTTACTACGAACACAACCTATACTAGCACCTGCAACTTCTAAACAGCGTTTTGCCAACATAGTTCAGTCCTTCTTTACCAATAAATCATATGATAGGTAATCTAAATGGACGAAACCAATCTCGACTACGTTTTTTTCATACTTCCTAATCCTTTCATAATAGTGACTTTTTTCCTTTAGCCACTTCCTAACATTGCCATCCAGTTCCATACAGAACGTTTTGAACCACGTCCCACTTACTTCGGTTTGACCAACTGGGTAGTATCATAATCCCTTGGACTTTGAGTGTGGTTCGTACCGAAATACCTGGTGAATGAGTTAACTATGGTTCTAGTCCATTATTTTAAACAAAACATGTTTTTCTATTGAGTAAATAGGATTGCTATTCCACGTCGAAAAGCGGATAATACGATATTGAGTAGAAAAAATAACTCTTACAATTGTTCATTTCTTTTACGGTGAATACGACCATCCATTTTAGCCATTTCTTGGTCAACTTTATCTTCTACTAGCGGTCCACAGGTAGACCAATTATTAGGATTAATATGAGAGCTGGAATCACTTTGCTATAATCGTGAATTAAGGGTAAAACTCAAGTTAATATTTTGAATTTCGGCAAAAGAAAACTTATGATCAAAATAAACTTGAAACTCGTTTTACTAAATAATCATTAAATTTCTTTATACTAGAATACATTAGCGATCAAGCGTATATACATTCATATATATAACAGGATTCATGCCATTTTAAGCCATAGTCATTACTCTGCAAAGAATAGACTTTAGTACTAGGTCATGGACAAATTATTTGGGAACCAGATGTCTAAGATACATACCATTGTGCTGAGGAGTATTTATATAACTTGATAAATCAGTTACGTTTGTTGGCTATAGAATCTCAGTTCTGTGATAATGTAAATTGTGTTCGCACATTAAGTTATTGATTAGTCAATATCAAGTGCTGCTTAGTCTCATTTATCTAAAACAGATTATTGATCACTGCCCCCAAATGCCCTGGTATGGCCGAGAGTGGGGTGGGCTCGCACACCCTCCCAAAATACTCTCACACGGCCACGCGTATACAGCCTCTGCCAGGGAAGTCCTACTCACTGCCTTCTCGTGGCACCGGTGTTGTTCACGAAAATGAGAGGACGAAAAGCGAATGTCCGGCGCTTTAATCGAATCTCAAACCAATGGTGCACATGGGCTCCAGTATACTACGGGAACAAATGGCGTATGAACCAATCGTTGGTTACCGGCTGCCATGGGAATGCATCCCCTCACGATGCTCCACTGCCTTGTGGATCAGACCTTTAGGTCAAAGGCTCGGGGTGTAGCCCCCTAAGAAAACCACCTGCTTCGGTCTGGGCACCCGGGCAGTATCACAGCCCACACACACACAAATACGGCGTGGCGCATATATATTTGGTGCCCTCTTGTACTAATATTTATGTGTTGAAATAAATAAATAAATAAGAATGTATAGAAACTAATGTATTTAGACATAGTTTTGACCTTTATTTGTTGAATAAGTCTTTAACTCTCGTATTTATCTTCTTCGTTGCATAGAGCCATATCACTTTTTTATTCAGCTGTGAAACAGAATTCACGCGAAATTTGTAAAAAATGACTAGCATGCAGGTTTATTCACATTGTAAGTACAGAGACCACACTTTAAAAATACACTACATCCTTAAACATATTTGACTGATGGAAAGTCTAACGGTTTCGCATGCAAGCCGTTGTATAAGTGCTAATAAAATTTAAATTCTGTTCACTAGCGTAGGTGTGCAATATGTAGCACTTAGCACCAATGTGGTTAAACCGTAAGATGGGGAGACAATTTATCTATAGGTGGACTGTAGCAAATAGTTCTACCGTGTATTACGAAGGAGCAATGAAGTTTCTAATAAGTAACGTGTAATAAGACTGTTTTGCCTGTGTATACATAGATTGTAAAGAAATATCGGGAAATAACAGGTGAACTGGTGTACATACGGGTGGACTTAAGTGGTTAATAAACTACCATACATACACATACCCGTCGCAGAAATTCAACTGACATGAGTCTCCCTATTGAGCAATAAATAATATCCTGTGATGGAGTATTATGACAATAAATGTAAACTACTGAGTTCGTACAAATAATCTGAAATCACTGGCACAATTTACTTGGTCTTTATTAGCAGTTTCTTCGCCACCACTTCCGTGGTGATCCAAGAGGAAGAGAAGATCCCCGTGTCTAAAACGTAGATAGGTGTCAATGATAACAACGAGTACTTTAAACCTAATTTTGCTAAACGTGTATTCAGGCTGGCATTTAGACGTTCAGACTGGCTATGAGATCGCGAAAGGCACCAACTATCATTTCGGCCAATGCCGAACTTTTCACACACTAAGCTTAAAAATTTATCATAGCTATCAGTTTCTGGCAGTTCTATCCTTTTTATTCCGTCCGGAGATTGTACACGAATGATCATCAGGATTGATTTGCCGCACCAATTTATGACTCATTATAAGCACAGATTCGTAATTTCTCACAAAAAAATTTATTCAAGTTATCTTACGTATCATTTTTCATTCATTCATCGTGAAAAAACCTCTGAAATCTATTTTTTTAGAAGACGGCGGCAATTTCTTCGATGAGTAAATTTTTATTGTTTCCAGTCTTCATTCTTAAGTAATAAGGATAGTAGTTCGGTGAACTTGTGTTAATCCTGACAGGTCGCCTTCCAGTGAAGCTCCAGCTTCTCCTTGAGAGTATTAATCGATGGAGCTGATACTACTTGTTCTGGTATGGCGTTCCAATCATTGACTACTCGATGGGAAAAACAGGACCACACGTTAAGTTTGTTAGATCGTGGCTTGTGAACTTTCTTGCTATGACCTCGGGAACTAGTAGTGCTGGAGGGAGTTTGTTACATATCAAGACTACTGTTTTTACTTTAATTGAATTTATTTCAGTCAAGGTATCCGCTCAGAGTATCATTTTTGCTTCCATAGTAGTCGGTACCTTAGAGTACCTTGTTTCTGTTGTATTTGTCAGCACTTTTGGTTCTAACGATTTACAGCTTTTCACCCTTTTGACCATAAATCATTTTTTTCTCTAAGTATTATTGTGTCTTGGTTTTTGAAAACTTCCGTTTGATGGCTGGAAAATGCAAGAAATCAATTGTCAACGCACGGACTGTCGAAAGCGGTGTGCAGTGCGACGAGTGCAAAGTCCAGCACCACGAAGTTAACGCCTGCGGCTTTCAAAAGGTTGATTCAAAATGGTTGCAGATGGTATTGTCATCAGTGTTGCTCAGATGTAAACAGCTTGCTAACCGAGGACATTTCAATGGTAAATGCTTCCGAACAGTGCATTAGCGAATGAGGTCGGAACAAAACGGAGAGTACTCGCTTTGTTGACACACAAAATGATGTGAAGCCACCTCAAGTGAGCTCGGAAACAGCTGACTCACAGTGATCAAAGAAGTAAAGGCTGACTTTATAGAGTCTGTTCTAAATAAAAACTCAGGAAAGGAAGTTTCCTCTACCCTCCATCCCTTAAATGGTACCCGAAAGGAAACGCTCAAGAATCCCAGCCGCAAGGCTAGTTCTTTTTCCAGAAAGAAGCTCAACCTAACTTCCCAAGTCGTCGATAGCCGTCCGAAATCCCAGTGTGTTTGACGCGACTGTGGTTGCTTCTCCAACGAAATTTGGGTACAGGTCGAGAAATTAAACACTGATCACCGTGACGATTCAATTATATTTCATGGAACCAAGGAGAGTGAAAGCTGAAACTCCTTTTTGAACATGACATTGGGTGGATAAAACAGCTACTAAATCAGCTTATGCCCCAGGATTAAATCTCTTGATAAACAGAACTTAATACTTCAGAATGGACATAAACGAAAGAGTTCAGGAGTTTTTGTCCGTAAGAACTTGCCACTTTCAGACCGCACAGAAAGACGAGAAGCTGAAAAAGAACTCCAACCTAGGTTGGACGCTGGCAATGAGGTTCTAAAAATTGTAAATCTTTGGGCTGTGAGGAACTGACAGAGAATGATGCCGAAGCCACTCTGAATGCATCACGAAGTCATTTAAATAGGCTTCAAATCTGTTACGCAATGCCCGAAACTTGCTCAATAAGCGATCGGAACTAGGTGTATAGTTTAACTCTACCAAGCCAGATATAATCGCAGTCGCAGAAACTTGGCTGACGCAGCCTATAGATAGTATGGAACTTGATTTTAAAGGTTTTACGTTGTTAAGAGCCGGCAGAATTCAGAAGCGTAAAAAAGAGCAGTGGTCGATGTCTAATCCTAAGGGACCTTAATGCGCCTATGGTAGACTGGGAAAATCTGCGAACTGAATCATCAGAAAATTCCTTCGAGCAGTAACTAGTTGCTGCGGTTATCACATATGTCCTAGTTCAACATGTGAAGGAAGCAACTAAGTACAACCTGGACTCTGAATCATCCTTACTAGATCTTATACTGGCCCATTATGAGAATGACGCCACGAACCTCGATTACATGCCACTCCAGGGTAGAAGCGGTCGTGCAGTTCTAACTTTTACTTCCATATAGTTGTCAAACACGAGCACGCATAAGCTCAATCTAGACCTAACGTCTGGAAAGCAAATATACAAGATATTATACACTCAGCATCGTCGGTAAATTGGACGATTGAGCAAGAGTCCTCAATTGAAACAGCTGAGACGTATTTCGAAATTTATGCTTAAAAATTACCGCACCTCACATCCTTTCGACTATGCCAAAGAGTCGAGAACTTCACCATAATTCAGTAGGGAGGCTAACATCCTTCTCCGTAGGAGAAGAAAAAATGTGGAACGGATTTGGGTTACTGGGTACTGATGAGACAAAATCTTGACGTCGAGAAGCTTGGAATACTTGCATCTCGACCCTTCATAAGTCTAGAGGGTTGTACGCAGAAAATATTGATCTTGCCTGTTAACCGACATGCCTCGTGTAACAAACTGTTATTTGAGAACAAATTATCATTATCGTTAAAAATCTATAGATCGCCCTAAACGCTTGTACTCGTGTATAAACCAAAGTACTAAAAGAGGAGGAAGTATTATAGCACTATGGGGAGACAGTACCGCTTCATCATTAGTAGAGGACGACTACAGTAAAGCTCAAGTACTCTCAAACTACTTTAGCAGTGTATATACCGTACAAACATTCTCTCCGCCAGTCCACACAAATCCCCCACGCGCACACTGTATAACACGACCATTAAAGTACTCGAAGTCTTTGGTCTGTTAAATGAGCTAGACATAGGCAAATCCACGGGACCCGATGAACTATATCCTAGGTTACTGAAGGAACTAAATAACTTCGTTGCGAACCGCCAAAGTATATGCTTTGATCTATCCGTAACTCAGAGTCATTTGCCAAAAGACCAAAAGAGCGCTATAGTAAGTCCTGTTCTCAAAACGGGCACGAAACATAATCCTGAGAACTACCGACCCGTTAGCCAAATTAGAGTGGCTGCTACAATTTTAGAAAAGATTATTCCGAAGGAGCTGTTTAAGTACCTCGATGAAAACTGGATCCTTTAAGAGAAGCAGCATTGTTTTAGAATAATTGTTTCCTGTCTCACTAACCTAATGGTGGCCAGTGATCTCTTGAAGACCGAACGTTACTTATAGACGTAGCCTGCATTAACTTTAGCAAAGTTTTTGACAAAGTTCCTCACAGCGGGCAGTTCTATAAGTTAGGAAATGTCGGGGTTGGATATAATCTATTGATGTGGATAAAAGACTTCCTAGTTGGACGCCAAAAAAGGGAACGGATGAACTCCAAGTTGCCTGGCTGTGAAACTGTGCCTAACAGAGTGCTTCAGTGTACAGTTTTGGAGCCAGTGTTATTCCTATTGTATGCGAATGACCTTCCTCGTCTCCTATCATCGGTCTTGTTATATGCTGACGATGTCAAGTTATGGAGAGCAGTAAGAAGTAAAAGTATAACTTGGAACTTCAAAATGACCTAGAGAGATTATCTGAATGGTTTCAAACCTGGTACTTGCCAATAAATACTACCAAGTGTATCTTGATGCGGATTGGTTATAAGGGTACAGAAACATACATGTTGAATAACACTGAGCTACATGTTGCCCAGACACACTGACTTAAGAGTGACTGTTTGCAAAGACTTAAAACTACTGCACACTGACGTGCGACAGCCGCCAATGTTTTAAAAACCTTATAGTCAATACGCGGAGCCTTTAGTCACGTAGACGCTAAAACATTTTCGACTTTGTATACAGTATTCATGCGTCCTAAACTTGAGTACTACATACAAAGGCCAGCCCATGTTTAAAAAAGACTAAGCTTTAGAACAAGTTTCAGAGAACAGTAACTAATCTGATTCCTAGAATAGTGAAGCTCCCGTGTATGCTAGACTGGCTAAGCTAGGCCTGTTACTGTTTTTATCCTGTATCTACGTTCACTAATATATATCTGTAATCACGTCCTTTGTGCTATGCTTTATTCAAAGCAGCCACAGTACCTTGATACGACGAAGAGGTTATCCACGTCAGGCGCTGACCGCGAGATGTGACTTCGAATTTAGCTGTTAGTTACATCATTTCCGCTCCAGTCATTCGACACAGATCATCTATGTTAATGATATACAGTATAAATTATAGGGCGCCAAGAAAAAGTTGCTCGTCAAGGTAAATAAGTTCCCGAAGTAAATTGTCCCGTAGTTTTTCAACATCACTGCTGACCTTACTGTTTTAACTGAGCAGACACTAGCTGAAAGCACTCGGTCATGCATCCGCATTAAATCACTAGTGGCTACGCCGTGTTGTGCATCCATTGCAACTGCCAGAAAGCCTAAATCAAACGCTTCTCGACATTTCGATAGATATCCGAAAATATATTCAAACCCCGTCATTGCTTATTTCTGATTCAACCGGATTTATATACTTCGATTATGTTGTTGCTTTTAAATCGTTTCCGAACTCCGAATACTTGTGGCGTCTTTTTGCTTGATAATTAAGATTATGAGATGTAGAAATCCGAGCTGTTTGATGATACGTGTGTTAACTCCCCAAGAGCCAATCTCCGTGAATATTATCATTGCTATAAGAGAGTGTAGTTCCACTAAAACAATAGTCCAATAGGTATTTGTGATTTTGTTCCGATTCATAACATCAGTGGTAATGTTGGTAATAGTGTTTTGTGAATATAGTTGTGTTTCATTGCTAGGATTGGGTCTATGTGTGATGTTCCTTATTGGTGTGCAATAGATATGGTATGTACATGAGGTAACCTTGGCGCCGTGGTGGCGCACTAGACAAGATGCTTGATTGCCTATCGGTTGTTTTATGTTCATCCGTATTATAACGTGCTGATTGTTAAGAAAAGCTGGGTTTTCTGAGATCTACCTGAAGTTATTATGAGTATTTCTTTTCTGTATATTATTAAATACTTGGATTGTAATATTTTATTATTCTTCTGCTA